CACAGAGTTTCAGATCAGCTGGCCCAGGAGGCTTAACAAGGAAGCCACTAGGGTCTCCCTGCTGGGTCTGACTGTTTTTAGAACATATGGCCCTCTATGCCACCACCCAGCTGCGAATTCCCTGGCTTTTGTCAGCTTGTGTCACAACCTGAGCAGAAAACAGTAGCTTAACACCGGCTTCACCAGGCTTCCACTAACTTACTCTATTTCTGCTTATATTAACTTCCTGTGCGGTTGTAAGGCAAGTGGACTATATATAAACTCCCAGCCTCCTCCACTTTTAATTATATAAAGAGAAGAGCGTCACCGTCACAGCAAAAATCACGTAGAGGAAGCACAATCCTAGGTATACGATGAAAGCTCAATAAATACTTCATGCATCAGGCCTACTTTCCAAAGGTTGTTTCATTATACATTCATCACAGTTGCTGGGTATGGGCCAAAAATCATTTAATGCACAAAGGAAAAAAATTTATAAAGCTTTTAGCATTTATTAAAGTGAAGATAATTGTTGTATTTCCTCTGTAGAATAAGGTTAGCAAAAAAAAAAACAAGGTTTCATCACTAGCATGTATACCTAAAAATAAGTTTAACACAATGAATAATGGGCATATAGAAAATAATAAATATTTGTTGAATGGAATCGGAACTATGGATGCTGAAAATTAAAAAAAAAAAAAAAACTTGTACTAAAGATATAGTACATGAACCAGTACACACTTAAAAACTTCTATCAATGCCGGGCGTGGTGGCGCAGGTCTGTAATCCCAGTGACTCAGGGGGCTGAGGCAGGAGGATCACAAGGTTGAGGCTAGTCTTAGCAAATTAGTGAGGCCCTAAGCATCTCAGTAAGACCCTGTCTCAAAAAATAAAAAGGGCTGGGGACGTGGTTCAGTGGTAAGTGCCCCTGGGTTTGATCCTCGGTACCTCGCCCCCAGCGAATCTATCAAGACTTATACAACAAAACATTTTGAAGATCTCACATCCTTCACAACTCTTAGACTTAGATCAAAACTTAAAAAGCAAAAAATGTGCTGATAATGAAATCCCAAAGGCAGCCCAGAAGTGGGTGCCCCCCACCATGATAGCTAATAACTGGAAAGTTATGCTCTCCTGAAAATTACCCAAATCAACATTTTTTTTGTGTATTTGAAATAAGCTACAGAAGTTGACTTTTCGTCGATGGCGGTCAGCACATCTCATCTGGACCAGCTCTGAGAATCAGGTTATGAACCCCAGAAGGCAGACATTGGTTCAGTTCTGATTCCAGAGCCACCCACCAGGGATTTCTCACCCTCAATAAATAGGCAATATAAATTCATGGTAAATCATAAAGATAACAATACTATGACTATTAATTCAATGTATTAAGGAATAGTAATTAGGGACGATCTCAAAGTTTTTTTTTTGGTGTTGGTGGTGTTGTTTTTTGGTGTAGTGCTAGGAATCAAACCCAGGGCCTTGTGCATGCTGGGTGAACAGTCTATCACTGGGCTACGTTATTTCCAGTCTTTTTTATTTTTAAGACAGAATCTCACTAAGTTGCTGAGGCTGGTCTCTAACTTGTGATCCTTCTGCCTCAGCTTCCCTACAGCTGGGATTAGAA